GGATAGTGTTGTTTTGATTGATTTTTTTATTCCAAGCATCTTGATGATTGTGATACTTTCATCGATAGGATAACACGTGATCAAGGGGACTGTCTGTACCAAGATATCACGAAAGCCTTATCGAATCCCCGAACTCGATCTGAATATCAACTCGTTCCTGCGCGTACGTCCGCATACAGCAACAGCGTAATTCCATACCTTGTTCGGTTATTGATTAATCGTCAGACTACTCTCACCCACCCTAGGGAAAAACTCCTGCACTAATTTGCTGAAAATTCACCCTCTGGATGCATAAAGCGTTTCTTGACTTAACCTGATGAGNTCGGGGATTCGATAAGGCTTTCGTGATATCTTGGTACAGACAGTCCCCTTGATCACGTGTTATCCTATCGATGAAAGTATCACAATCATCAAGATGCTTGGAATAAAAAAATCAATCAAAACAACACTATCCACTCTACCCAAGCACGGAGGCGTAGGGTTCAAATCGAACCACGGCTTATATATATAGCTGTAATTTTGTTTGTGTAGTCTGATTTTTTTTACTGTTAATAATATTTCTATGATCTCTCTAACTCCACCTAGAACCTGCTGAAACGGTAACTCGAATTGTGGCAAATATTCTTAAAGCCAACAGTGTTGGCAAGCCTACAGAAGGCTCAATCGACATTTGCTGATTTGTGAAATCTCGTTTCCTGTGCCACCTTTCTCGGTCTGTGAATGTTTAATTGCTTGGTGCTACTGTCTGGCCAGTGTTTTCAAGTGATGCAAAGACACGACCATGAACAGGGAACAGGACAATAGCCAACTAATCGTGTTCGATCACCACTGTGTGTGTCGCATTATGAAGTTCGCTTTACGATGATGATGACGATGTCGCTTTGTACGAGACTGCTAGCAGAACGATACAAGCAATGCGGTAACTAAGCGAACACAGTCTTGCACCGACACAAACGCTGAACCTCTCAAGATGACGATGACTGGGGCGTGTGTTCTACACGATTGCGGATAGGCTCTTTTTACAGTGAGATAGTTGCTGAAGCATATATTGAGTCGGAGAAGGACGGTGGTTAGTCAAACTATATTTCGGCGGGACGATATGGAAACTTTGACCATGGCGACCCAATCATATCCCGTTCGTCATTGCTTTCTACTTAGGGACTTTATGCACAATCGAATGCACGGTCTGGAATACTGATTGGTACGGTTGACTAAGTCCTTTTGTCTGCTGCGGTTCGTAGTCAATAAACGTTTTCTTTTTGTTTGTTTGTCACTTTCACTGCAGGACCGAACTCGACGAAAACGCTTCCTGCACCGGGCATTTCGACCGGCCAGAATAACACAGTGAGTCCGGACCGAGAAACCATATGCTCTCCCCGTTCCAGTCGCCTGATGGACGATTCGTCCGACATCCTGACTGCCGATACCGTGATACTTATGGATACGAAGGACGATCGAATGCACACGGAAAGCCAGCTCAAAGTAAACGAGAACATGGGTTTAGAAGGGAATCGTGTAAATTCCCCCGGTTCCACTGCCACCTACTCGAACAGTTTGGTCGTGGCTCACGCTACCCAGGCTCCACGATCGACCTCTGTGTCTACCAGTGAATTGGTGGATCAAGGAGTCGATAAGTTGCCGTCGGGGGAAGCGATGCGATGATGTCCAAGTGAGTATGTTTTTTCTACTTTGATGCTGATACTGTTCATGTGCATACTCTCTCAATCCAAGATGGTTTATATGTACCCAGTCCCTGGGGTATCCTCGCATATTTTATCTCTATCGGCTATTCATCTCTTAGCTGTGCTTCCATAACTCTGAGGCGTGCATTTCTGGCCACAATCCGGTAAACTGCTGGACAGGTGGGCTGTATCACATTGAGAGTAATCGAGCCCTAAGGGGTATCTGACAAAGCATCAGAGATGCTTGGATCTCTGGACTGAATCGATATTTGAATGATAAATGATCTTCCAATAGAGCTTTGCCATCGAAACGAAAGATTGAGCGATACTGTTGACATCTTTCGCATTAGAATGCTGTGAAACTTTGTGATTATTCATGAAGCCGGTATAATACTCAACGATTTACTACATTTTATCATGCCCCTTACCATCTACTCAGCTTGCGTAACATTTGGCGCACTCCAGCCAGACATGTTAATCGACAACGATCATGTGTTATCGGACACCGCATGCATTCCCCATCACTTAAATCTCGCTTGCACATGATCGATCATTGCGTGCTCGTCTGGTGTCCGACGACTGTGATTGGTGAACCTGAGTTGGTGAAGTACGATAAATGTGTTGCGCGATCCGATCTCAGGGTTCGAAATGCACGACTATATAATCACCATGTCCTATAGTTCAACTTCATTTCGATATCGAGAAAACTAGGCTTTTCCGGATCTGTTCGTGATGCAACACCGCCGTTTCACACGCACCTATGCCCCTGAGAATCCCATAAAAGAATGGTTAAACTCGATCGTACAATGCTGTTATCCTCCGAATCCCACCACTTCCAGTTTTCTGTCTGTGAGCGTTGACATGTCCACTGGTTGCAAAAAGGTTTTTACATCATTTTCAGCCTCGAATTGGTAAGATTTAGGTTGATCGTTTATCCATAATAGTATTAGCCTCAACTATCTTTTCATTCACATTTAACGTATAAGTGTATGTGCGTAGTGATATGGTGTGGGGTGTTATTGATTTGACTAACCATCCTTCAAACTTCACCTTCACGCACAAACCTCATCCATTCAACTGCATATGCTCAAAAACCAGTACATTCGATTATCGGCTGCGATATCGCTCGTTATTGGTGCATATCCGTGGTACAGTTCAGGATTTGAACTCCGGTGCCCTTGTGCGGAAAGAATGTACTGCTACTGTGACACTCTCTACCCATACCGGAGCGGACCGGAATAAGCCTCTTCCAGGTTATTCGGATGTCGACCCAAATGAGCAACCTAAAGACAGCAACCGCACACAAGGTGCATGGTTAATTGTTGTGAAAACTCAATTGAACTGGACGTCCCACTCAGTCCTTCTTCCTGGTCTCGTCTGTGGGTGTTCTCTATCTGAAACAATTCATAATGTGTCACTTTTTCATGTTACAGTAGTTGTTAGCTCACTTGGAATAGTTCGCTCGGCTTTATCTGAACAGAGTGACATATTGCATCCCTCCTTATCCACAATCGTTTTGTTAGCGGCTTATATCTAGCCAATACTGGAGTCTAGCAATCTCGCACATGGGTATTTGATATGTTATTTCCGGTATGGCTTTCCCCGTTGTACTGGTGGCACTGAAGTTAAGCACAGTCCCCCTTAACACTTATCATGATTTCAAAAATATTTTCAGCCATCTTTTGTCTACTCATAAGTAGATAAAAACTAAATTTGTTTGTGCACCAGGTCAGAGTATGGTTTGTTTCACACTTTTGAATGCCTCAAGCAAGTTCGCGATCTGGTACTAATGAATGCATTATATTTTAAATTTCCGTACTCCTGATATAGTACCTGCAAATGCAAGGATTGGAATTGCACTACAAATACCATTTTCGGTGGTTTTCAATACTGTTGCACTTCTTGCAAGAACGTTTCTGAACATCTTTCACGTCTCTTAGGTATCGCTTTTAGCCGGGTGATCATTTTTTTCCATTTGTGAACACGAGTGCCAGAACTGAGTGTGCAATATCGGCAAAATGGGGGATATCATGACGAGTCTGCATATTTATGGAGTGCAACGGTGTCTCAATCACTCTGTCATGCGTACAGGATGATTTCTCAAGGAAGCAGATTTCAACGTAATTGACAAGTGACTGGATAGATATCCGACAAAATTTAATTCCACAGGGTCAGCTAATATGGTATCTCATGGTTTCCTTTTACTATCTGCTTGCATCCCTAGAGAGGTAATCCCAGTAAATAAACACATGGAAGAGCAGTTTATCAGTCAAAAGAAAACCCGCTAGATGAACATAGAAGGTGCACTCGGGCTTCCCCAAGTGGTATGATGTCTTCGCACGTAATTGAACTGCTGGCACCCCAAGCTGAACCGGCGCCGGTCATTAAGGTGCTATGCCGCATCACTAATTGCATGAGGTTAGGGAATGATCTCGAACAGCGGTCCGGCAGTCAACACACCAGACTCTTGCAGCTTTACGGTTTTCAGTGTCCGATTACCTCACCACACTCCATCCACGTGGGATGCCAATTGACAATAGCCGAGATTACCGCACCAAAGTGCATGGTTAAATGGCTTTATAAACTGAAATTAACATCACAATAACGGTTTTTTATTGAAGTTATCCAGAGGGAACCGATTAGTGTACTAAGCTTATCCTCCAAACTGCGTAAACCCATGTTGAACTCGCTTTATCCCACAACATCAATGTTTTTCGTTGAACGAGGCTGCACAACAGATACTTTCGATAGTACATGGTGTTTATGTTCAAACCTGACTTGTTATGATCTCAGATTGCTTGTGACCTTGTTCAGGACCGATTTATTTCGTGTGTTGATTATCAGTTCTCATTTTCGGTCTTCTTCTGCAGATTGTCATGACGCTTAACCACAATCGGTTCCACATACATAGCTAATGTGATGGCTGAAACGTAATTCAGGTTCAACGTGGACAATTCGGGAATCTGCGCGTTCCAGCGAGATTTACTCACACACACGCACGCACATGCCTACATATATGCGTGCACACACCAGCTCCTCGCTTGCACCCCGTTCATCCCATCCAACTCAATTTCCAGTTAGTCCTTCATCATCTAACAACGTTTCATCTATTCGTAGGGAAGGGTGAACACTTTCGCTTCATTCTTCACTTCAGTCCGCATTTTCTATCTCTCTCTCTACCTATGCTCGTCACCCAACAACCACTTGGTATTGCTCTTTGTTCTCCGAGCCCATTTCATTTGGCCTCTCATATCTATTCCCAAAAACAACCATCACAGATGATCCACAACCTGGAATGCGCCAACCATCAGTCTCATCCCATATCACTCAATCAATGTCAAACGTTCGTCCGGCCCAGCTCCCGCGCTGTATGCACCAGCTTATGTTTCCAATTTTCCTCCGTGCTCTTGTTACGGTGTCGACCACTCCCTAACGGTCCACCTTGAAATACGAGACCATGTACATGTGTACGGATTCTATTTGATCTCGTTTTTTCAGTTTTCACGCACACACACAC